CACCCCATCTGCTCTCCTCCTCCACCTGCTCGGGACATGCATGTCCAACATGGTTTCGGATGGCCTTCTTGGGCGCCTCTTCTTGTTTTGTATACCACCGACGCGCGTAGCAACAATGTGATGTACACCCACGACGATCGCGCGGGATGAGCAGGCTCTGCTGGGCCACTCATCACGCACGCGGCTGGCGCGCACGCAAATATACTGGAGGCAAGGGCGCACCGAGGCCGTCTACACCCCCAGAACTGCATCCTACCTCGATCTTACACCTACAAGTAAAAACGAAATCATGTTAGCTGCTGCGGTGAAGGGTCCGACTGCGCGCTCTTGCCTGGCAGGGTAAACGATATCCCAACTGAGGCGACACACATTAGGGCCGTCTGTCGCGGTGGAAGGGTGCGACAGCATGCCAAAATATGCGGAGCAACGTCCCAGAACTGTACATCTGGAAACAAAATTAGCGGACCCCTGCCCGACACGGGGGTCTCGAACCTCAGCGAGGCATGGCCCATGCGGCACTGCGACTGTGAAGTTCGTTTCATGTTCGGGAACGCCCGAGGGAATTCATGCAGGGCCGACCTTTCCAGGAACTAGCTGCGACGTGCTCGCGAATTCTGGGCTGTCGCCACACGCGCCTGATAGGCAGAAAATCTCTGCAAAGGCATCCTCGCTGGCGCAGCCCACCCAGACGACCAGGGAACGCGGAAACGCGTCCGCCTTCTCCTCCTCCTCCTCCTCCTCCTCCTCCTCCTCCTCCTCCTCCTCCTTTTCCTCCTCCTCCTCCTCCTCCTCCTCCTCCTCCTCCTCCTTGACCTTCGGCCCCATATCCCCCCACCTCCTCCACAGTCGCACCGCAGGAGGACCCCACGCCGCCACCTGCTCACGCGAGCGCCGCGGCCAGTCCCAGCGCGCACGCTGCCGCCGCGTTCGTGGGAACGGGCGCGCTGGAGGCCGCGTCCTGGTCCTCGCTGGGGTTCGGGCTGACCGTCGGGGCGGCCGTCGGGCTGGGAGTGGGGCCAGCGGCGTCGCAGGCGCCCGGGGTGGTGATGGTCTGGCCGCACGCCGCCTCCAGGGCGTTGAGGTACGCGAGGTTGATGTAGCAGGTCTCGTTGGAGAAGGGGTTGCACGGGTACTGGGGGCAGGCGGCGGGGTAAGCCTCGGTCGGCCTGGCGCCGTCGCCGGCCAGGTTGGGCTGCCACAGCAGCCACTGGCCGCCGCGGTCGGCGTTGAAGTTGGCGATGACGCCCTCGTTCTCGTGGTTGTGGGCCTGCAGGCCGATGAGGATGATCTTGTCGTCCATGGCGACGGTCGCCTCGACGGCCCTCCTCTCGTGGCCCGCGGCGGACTGCGACAGCGCGAAGGCGCCGTCGCCGCCCTTCGCCAGCAGGCCGGACAGGTCGGCCACCCCAGAGAACTCGTGCGCGTTCGCAGCAGGGTTGCTGTTCGCCGGCACCCCAGCGCCCGCCATCATGCGGGAGTTCATCGCCCCTCCGGACTGCGCCACGAACTTGAACGGCTGGGACGAGGGGCTCTCGCCGTATGTGAGCAGGGCCTCGTAGACGAACATGCGCTCCCCGTACTTGTTGCCGCCGTCCTCCTGGATCACGGCGAAGACGCCGTCCGACGACGAGATGGCCTCGAAGCCATCGATGTCCTCGAAGGTGAGCTTGCCAGGGGCGTCGGTGCTGCCGCACTCGTTGGCGCTGTCAGCGGAGCTGTCGCACATGGTGGTCTGGTTCCCGCCGTTCGCGGTCTGGCCCTTGACGGCTTCGCCGAGGTCGATGAGGTCGTTAATGGGGGTTTCGCCTTGGTACAGGTGGTAGACGGCGTCCAGCTCGGTCGGGAACGGGTCCTGGGCGCCAGCGGCGGCGGTTAAGGCGGCGGCCAGGCCGCTGATCACGTATTTGCCGAAGTAGCCGGCCGTGGAGGTCTGGTAGTACGCTGTCTCTCCCAATGGGTCCGGCGACACGTGTTCTGTCTTCGATCCGGACTGGTCGTTGCCGGCCCCATTCCAGAAGACGTAGCCCGCCGCGCCGCCCAGGGGGGCGATCTGGAAGTGCCAGGCGCCGTCGTGCTCGAAGTTGGTCACCGTGCCGTTCCAACGCCAGTCGATGGGGTAGAACTTGCCCGCGATGCTGTCGCCGTTGTAGTGCGTCTTGTGCCACTCGTCGCGCCAAGAGAAATCCGAATCCGCGCTGTCCACCGCAAACCCGTACATCTGGCCATACGCGAGGCCGTTGCGGGACAGGAAATCGGTGGCGGGATTCCCGAGGGCGTCGTACCCCTTGCGGCCGATGTAGATGCGCGACGGGCAGATATTCTCAGGCCACACCCAGTCGGTCCCGTCCGGGCGGGTTCCATACATGGCTTTCTTGTTGGCGAGCATGTAATCCTCGCTGCCGAACGCGCCGTTGTAGCCCGAAATGGCTATGGCGACGTACTCGGTGCTGTCCGCGTTGAACTGGGACGGCTTCTCGAAGCCGCTCACCGTCGGCGCCCAAGCGTACGCGGTCTTCGTTGCGATGTCGATGGCGTGAGCCGGGAGCCCAACGAGGCTCGTGTCGGACGCAATCTGCTGCCACTCCTCGTTGGTGAGGAAGATGTCGTCCACGAAGCCGTTGCCAGCGCCCCACATCTCCTTCTCCACGAGTTGCGCGGAGCAGAGAGACATCATCGTCCAGTCTGCCTCCCTCTGGGACACGCCGCCGTCTGCCGGAGGCGCATACAACGCATAATTCCCGTCAACGTCCACGTTCGACTCGAACGCTCCGACCGTCGTTGGGCCGGTCCTGTTGCGCGGCCCGACGAGCTCGCCCCTGAGGTTGTAGGCGAACTGGATCAGCTCGCCCGCGCCCTTGACCATCGACGACGCGGGCAGGGCGGAGGTCATGAACCCGGACATCATCTCCCGGTCGTAGTCCACGTACTGGACGTGCGAGCCCGTGATCGCCGCCGCCCCGTCGTTGACCAAGTACGGGAAGGCCTCCTGCTGCGTGATGGGGCCGTAGGACTCGCTCTGCACGATGACGCGGACGGTGTCGTCGTCGTGGAGTATGGCCCCAAGCCCGTCCGGCACGCCGACGATCAGCATGCCAGTCTGGTAGTCCACCTCGCCGACAGTGGCGATCGGCTTCAGGTTTCCGAACTGGAAGTCGACGTCGCCGTCCTGGCCGTCCACCATGAAGAGCTGGTTGCCCTTCGCGTCCGAGGCTTCGGGGATGCGGGCGGCGTGCTCGCCGATGGCCTTCAGCGGGGCCGCGTCCGCCTCCAGCGTGGAGGAGCCGCCGTAGGCGCCAGCGCTGCCCGCCCAGGAGAAATTCGCCTGCAGAGGCCTTCTAGATGGGGTCCGGGTAGATGGGGTCGGAGGATCGCGCCGCATCGCCAACGCATCACCGATGCATCGGCGATGCATCGGCGACGTCGGCGATGCATCGGCGACGTCGGCACGGGGGAACTCGGGCTCCGCATCGGGCCGCATCGCCAATGCATCGCCGATGCGGCGCGATCCCCCGACCCCATCTACCCGGACCACTTCCAGGAGGCCTAGAGCCTGGATCTTCCACTCCGAGTCGCTGTCTCCCGGGCAGGCCAAGCCGGGCGCGGCCGAGGGTACTCCCAGCAGGAGGAGCAATGCGAGATGACCTGCCATGGGTGCGAGCGGCAGGGATGGCGCGTGACGCTGGAGCAGGGCTCGAAAAATCACACAAGGCCAAAAAAGGCTTGAGCCAAAATGGCTACGGAGGCCCTCTTGGGCGCCCCTTGGGCAACCTTGGGAGGCCCTGGAGGGCGGCCCTTGGAGGCCAAAATCGTCAAAAGGAATTGGTTGCTGCATGGTTTTCGCAGCACCGCCTTCTCGGTCTTCCGAGCGTTCCTGGCTGCCGAAGAGGCGCCCAAGACCGCCCAGAAACGGCCCAGAAGCCCCCAAGAGGGGGCCAAGAGGCCCCCAAGTCGGCCCCAAGGGGGCCCAACATGGGAACGCGAATGGTCAGTGTGAGCCCTCCGCCCCAAGATGGCCCCAGAATCCCCCCGCAGGCCCCCGACGCGCGCGCCCAAGAGGCCCCAAGAGGCCCCGAGATGCCTAAATCGGACCCCAAGAAGCCCCCATAAAATCGCCTCCGAGAGGCATCGGAGAGGCATCCCAAGAGACACTGACCTGCAACCCAGGCACGGTGGCTGGATGGGCCGAAAGCCACTAGATCCGCCGCCCCCTGCTTGCAGGGGTGCACGGCGTGCTGGACGAGCTGTTAGGTTTTGGTTTTGGTTCTTTTTCCAAAAGAACTCCCCAGTGGGCTCCGGCAGAACCCGCCACCGTGCGCAAAAACGGCCGTTTCGCTCGGGACATCCTCAAAAAATCGCGAAGATGGCCCAAGATGGCCTCCAAGTCCGCCCGAGATGGTCCAAGACGGCCTCCAAAACGGCCCAAGAGAGTCCAAGACGGCCCAAGACGGCCCAAGAGGCCCCCCAGAGGCCTCCCAGACGGCCCAAGAGGCCTCCAAGAGGTCCTCCAGGAGAGTCCGAAGAGGGCAAAATCATTGATTTTCCCTTGGTTTTTGAAGGATTTTGGCATTTGCGCCTTTTCGGCTCTCCGACGGCTCAAGACGGCCCAAGAAGCCCCCAAGATCGCCCAAGAGGCCCCCAAGAGAGCCCCCTGATGGCCCAAGTGGCCTCCAAGATGGCACTAGAGGGCCCCAAGGACGGCCCAAGAGGCTCCAACACCGCGCCCCCCCCCACCACCCCACCCCCAACCCCCCAACAAGCCCCAAGACCCAAGCCCCCAACCCAAGAAGATGGCCTCCAAGACGCCCAAGATGGCCTCCAAGACGGCCCTGGAGCGCCCCAAGAGGGTCCCCCGTTGGCCCAGACAGGCCCCCAAAACGGCTCCCGACGGCGTCAGACGTGCCAGGAACCCACCAAGATGGCCGAAGTTGGCTCGAAGCTGGCCCAAAAGGGCCCAAGAGGCCCCCAAGAGGGCCTCCAGGAAGGCCACAAGATGCCAAAATCACTGATTTTCCCAAGGTTTTTGATGGATTTGGGCATTTCCCTTCTTTCGGCCTTCCGACGGCCCGAGACGGCCCAAGAGCCCCCAAAGATCGCCGAAAGATCGCCCAAGAGGCCTCCAAGACGACGACGATGACCATCAAGACGCCCACGTGTTCCCCGAAGGCTTTCCAAACCGATTCGGGGAACACATGGTCCGATGGCTTGGCAGGTCTGGCCTCAACGTTCGGCCACATAGGCGCTTCCACAAAGGCAGGGGGCGGCGGTGATTCGCCGTAGGCGTCTTCGATCCGCCGCCCCCTGCTTGCAGGGGTGCACGGCGTGCTGGATGTTTCAGGTTTTGGTTTTGGTTCTTTTTCTAAAAGAACTCCCCAGTGGGCTTCGGCCCGTCCCGCCGGCCACCCGGAAAGGATGCCCAGGAGCTCAATTCCCCAATTTCCTGCCCCAGACAGTTCCAAGATGGCCTCCAAGATGCCTCTAAGACGGCCAGGATGGTCTCTAAGACGGCTAAGATGGCTCCAAGATGCCTCCAAGACGGCCCAAGATGCCCTCCAAGACGGCCAAGATGGCCCCAAGATGCCTCCAAGATGGCCCAAGAGGCCTCCAAGACGTTCTCCAGGAGAGCCCGAAGAGGCCAAAATCATTGGTTTTCCTTAGGTTTTTGAAGGTTTTTTGAGTTTTCTTCTTTTCGGCCTTCCGACGGCCCAAGAGGCCCCCAAGATCGCCCAAGAGGCCTCCCAGAAGGCCCTATGACGGCCCAAGGGCCCCCCAAGACGGCCCCAAGAGCGCCCCAAGACGGCCCAAGAGGCCTCCAAGACGCCCAACATGGCCTCCAAGACGGCCCTGAAGCGCCCCAAGAGGGCCCCAAGACGGCCCAGAGAGGCCACCAAGACGGCTCCAGACGGCGTCAGACGGACCAGGAACGCCCTAAGACGGCCAAAGAGACCCCCAGGAAGCCCCCAAAGGCCCCCAAGAGGCCCAAGGAGGCCCCCAAGATGCCTCCAAGAGGCCTCGAAGAGGCCCCCAAGAAGCCCCCAACAGACCCCAAGGGTGACCCAAGAGACTCCTAACAACCATCATCCTCCTACTCTATTTCTTCCTCTTCCTCTTCCTGTTCACAATCATTCTCTCCCATGTGTTCCCCGAAAGCTTTCCAAACCGACTCGGGGAACTCATGGTCCGATAGCTTGGCCAAGCTCTAGTCCAACTTTCGGCCACATCGGCGTTTCCAAAATGGCAGGGGGCGGCGGTGATTCGCCGTAGGCGTCTTCGATCCGCCGCCCCCTGCTTGCAGGGGAGCACGGCGTGCTGGATGTTTCAGGTTTTGGTTTTGGTTCTTTTTCTAAAAGAACTCCCCAGTGGGCTTCGGCCCGTCCCGCCGGCCACCCGGAAAGGATGACCAGGAGCTCAATTCCCCAATTTCCTGCCCCAGACGGTTCCAAGATGGCCTCCAAGATGCCTCTAAGACGGCCAGGATGGTCTCTAAGACGGCTAAGATGGCTCCAAGATGCCTCCAAGACGGCCCAAGATGCCCTCCAAGACGGCCAAGATGGCCCCAAGATGCCTCCAAGATGGCCCAAGAGGCCTCCAAGACGTTCTCCAGGAGAGCCCGAAGAGGCCAAAATCATTGGTTTTCCTAGGTTTTTGAAGGTTTTTTGCGTTTTCTTCTTTTCGGCCTTCCGACGGCCCAAGAGGCCCCCAAGATCGCCCAAGAGGCCTCCAAGAAGGCCCTATGACGGCCCAAGGGCCCCCCAAGACGGCCCCAAGAGCGCCCCAAGACGGCACAAGAGGCCTCCAAGACGCCCAACATGGCCTCCAAGACGGCCCTGAAGCGCCCCAAGAGGGCCCCAAGACGGCCCAGAGAGGCCCCCAAGACGGCTCCAGACGGCGTCAGACGGACCAGGAACGCCCTAAGACGGCCAAAGAGACACCCAGGAAGCCCCCAAAGGCCCCCAAGAGGCCCAAGGAGGCCCCCAAGATGCCTCCAAGAGGCCTCGAAGAGGCCCCCAAGAAGCCCCCAACAGACCCCAAGGGTGCCCCAAGAGACTCCTAACAACCCTCATCCTCCTACTCTATTTCTTCCTCTTCCTCCTCCTGTTCATAATCATTCTCTCCCATGTGTTCCCCGAAAGCTTTCCAAACCGACTCGGGGAACTCATGGTCCGATAGCTGGGCCAAGCTCTAGTCCAACTTTCGGCCACATCGGCGTTTCCAAAAAGGCAGGGGGCGGCGGTGATTCGCCGTAGGCGTCTTCGATCCGCCGCCCCCTGTGGTCTTGCCACAGGGGTGCACGGCGTGCTGGATGTTTCAGGTTTTGGTTTTGGTTCTTTTTAAAGAACTCCCCAGTGGGCTTCGGCCCGTCCCGCCGGCCACCCGCAAGTTTCCGAAAATCCATCTGTCAATGCCTTTGTTGCCCCAACTTGGCCCAAGATGGCCTCCAAAGACCCCCCCCCCCCGTGCCACGACGCCCAAGATGGGACTCCAAGATGCTTCAAGGACGGCCAAGATGGCTCCAAGAAGGGTAAGGATGGCTCCAAGATGCACCCCAAAGACGGCCCTAGGGAAGTCTCAAATGGTCTTACGACGGCCCAAAAACGCCGCCAAAAGGCGAAAGACGGCCCAAGAGCCCTCCAAGACGCCCTCCAGGAAGGCCCGAATAGGTTAAAATCATTGATTTTCATTAGGTTTTTCAAGGATTTTGGCATGTTCTTCTTTTCAGCTCTCCGACGGCCCAAGACGGCCCAAGAGGTCCCCAACATCGCCCCAACAGCACCCAAGAGGCCTCCAAGATGGCCCCATGACGGCCCAGAGGCCCCCAAGAAGGCCCCAAGAGGGCCTCAAGACGGCCCAAGAGGCCTCCAAGACGCCCAAGATGGCCTCCAAGACGGCCAAGATGGCCCAAGATGGCCTCCAAGATGCCTCCAAGACGGCCAAGATGGCCTCCAAGACAGGTAAGATGGCTCCAAGATGCACCCAAGACGGCCCAAGATGGCCTCAAGTGGGTATAAGACGGCCCAATAAGGCGCCAACAAGGCCTCCAAGGACGGCCCAAGAGCCCTCCAAGACGCCTCCAGGAAGGCACCGAAAGGTTAAGAATCATGATTTTCTCAGGTGTTTGAAGGATTTTGGCATGTTCTTCTTGTCAGCTCTCCGACGGCCCCAGACGGCCCAAGAGGTCCCCAACATCGCCCCAACAGCACCCAAGAGGCCTCCAAGATGGCCCCATGACGGCCCAAGAGGCCCCCAAGAAGGCCCCAAGAGGGCCTCAAGACGGCCCAAGAGGCCAATTCCCTACTTTTCTGCCCAAGACGGCTCCAAGATGGCCTCCAAGTCCGCCCAAGATGGTCCAAGATGGCATCCAAGACGGCCCAAGATGGCATCCAAGACGGGTAAAGGCTCCACGAGCAACCAAAGACGGCCAAGATGGCCTCAAGAGGTTCGACGACGGCCCAAAAAAGGCCCGCAAAAGGCCTCCAAGACGGCCCAAGAGCCCTCCAAGACGCCCTCCAGGAAGGCCCGAATAGGTTAAAATCATTGATTTTCCTTAGGTTTTTCAAGGATTTTGGCATGTTCTTCTTTTCAGCTCTCCGACGGCCCAAGACGGTCCAAGAGGTCCCAAACATCGCCCCAACAGCACCCAAGAGGCCTCCAAGATGGCCCCATGACGGCCCAAGAGGCCCCCAAGAAGGCCCCAAGAGGGCCTCAAGACGGCCCAAGAGGCCTCCAAGACGCCCAAGATGGCCTCCAAGACGGCCAAGATGGCCCAAGATGGCCTCCAAGATGCCTCCAAGACGGCCAAAATGACCCAGA